TCTTCCCATGCTATGGACAAACCCCTTACTATACCACTTGCGGGAATTTTTCTCCTTCGGCTCTTCATTACTTTCTTTTTCAGTCAGTTCTTCTGCCACTCCATTTATTCTTTTCGGAACGTTATCATGAATAAATACATTTTGGAAATCGGAGCCCCCAATACTCTCTCCAGAATTGACCGTTTCAACAGAGGTGACCCTGTTTTCTGTTGCGGGAATTCATAAGGGAGTGGACAAAAAGAGAGGAGGTAACACCATTAAGTATCTTAGAAATTTCAATTAGGACTATAAATTAAAGTCAAATGCCAATTGTTGAAACAGAGTACGTTCTGCAGAAACAAATAGGGGCTCAAAGTTTTTAAGTTTTTGAGGCCTCTGATGCTATCTCAAAATCAAATAAAACTAAAAGATATGATTTGAAAAGCTCTCTTCATGAAGCGCAATTGAAACCCATCATTTCTTTCTCTCTGACCCTTTAAAAGGCACTTATGAATTTATGAAAATAGGCCAATTTCGAACTTTGACCTTGAATACCTTGGTGACGGAAAGTCGAAAACACCTTCTAATTACTATAAAAGTTTTTGCTTTCAGTCTTTTTCTTAATGATGTATCAAAAAAGGGGGATTGCCATTTGAGATATTTTAGTCAGGGTCAGCGCGGGCGCCTGGGAGCAAACCTCCGAAATTTTACATACGCAAAATGGTAGCTTCTAATGGCCTATAAACATTCTCAAAGGTTCATCATTCTACAAGCAGCCGTTTAAAAGTTAAGAGCGGCCCTCTCTGGACTTCTGGTCCCCCTGGTATATCTCCCACTTTTGTTTTTATCTTTTCCACAATTTTTCCTTTTTGAATAATTCAAAATAAAGTATACTTCTTTAAATAAATCTTAGTTGATATTTTGAAAGGGATGCCAACCCTTCACTATGGGCCAGATCGTGTCCGTAGCGGCGCGAAATGCAATTTTTCGACATTTTTTTCCTCATCAAAGCAATCTTAATCGATGCTCAGATACCTGCTCATAACGAAATTACATGGGAATATCTAAAATATTCATTATATCTGCGGTTTCCTCGTAGATAGATATGCAGCATGTGGAATGTGATGAACCCAGATTTCTGCAACCTGAGGCGCGCGTTGTATACTCACTTATTTCACAGTACACTCCTGAACATCACACCATTATATGCATCTGACTGGTAAACTCCATTGCATGACGAGTATTTTCGCTTTTGCAGATCCCAAAAATATTGATTTTAAGCTGCAGGGCATGAGATCAAAGTTGCCCGAAAAATAAGCTTTAAAAAATGAATTTTCCAGAATATTGTAAACTGGGAAAGTGTCATTGCGGTTCGTTGTGCGGTTCTCTTTGGTATTTTTGGAAAGCATATATCTTAGAGATACCATATACCAAAGCACAAACGGTACAAACCGGTACAACCATATTTTTCGGATGCTTCTTTGAGGTGACCTCCAATTTCCGCGAAAATCGGATTTAGAGGTTTTAAGGAACCACGGTGCACAGTAAAGCGGCCAATGAAATATTTCAACACAAATTCATGTTTTAAGGGTTTTTAAGGTTTCTAATAGGATTTCTCGCTCATTCGATACTTAACGGTGGAAGGAGGGGGAGGGGGAGGCCGACCAAAATCAGACAGTCAAAAATTTGTTATGGTCATTAATTTTCTTGAGCCCGGTAAATAATAATAATTTTTTTACATCCGTTCACGCATTCAGCCCAAAAAGGACTGGTTTTAAACCAATTTGGCGAGGAATATGAAAATGCTACCATCACATGGCACCTAAGTTTAGAGTGAGTTGACCGCCGCTGACACCAATATAACTGAAGAAATTTCAATTTCACTGTTAGACTTAAAGTAATGTAATATCGTATGATTGTAGTCATATTTGACTTCTTTAAATACAAATCCTATTTTAGTGTTACACCCCTCCTAAAAGCTATTGTCATTGTATAAATAATGTGTTATTTTTGGTAAGTACCTAACGGTATCCTGAGCTGTGTACGAGTCAGTTCTTGTTATTGCGTTATTTTCAACCCAATATTACTGTTTGATCGAATTAAAAGAATTCGATAGGTATAGAATCCTCCTCTACCTTGGAGATATCATCCTCAAGCACGCAAGATTGCATAAATTACAGTTCAACAGTGAAATTGAAATTTCATCAGTTATATTGGTGTCAGCGGCGGTCAACTCACTCTAAACTTAGGTGCCATGTGATGGTAGTATTTTCATATTCCTTGCCAAATTGGTTTAAAACCAGTCCTTTTTGGGCTGAATGCGTGAACGGATGTGAAAAAATTATTATTATTTACTGGGCTCAAGAAAATTAATGACCATAACAAATTTTTGACTGTCTGATTTTGGTCGGCCTCCCCCTCCCCCTCATTCCACCGTTAAGTATCGAATGAGCGAGAAATGCTATTAGAAACCTTAAAAACCCTTAAAACATGAATTTGTGTTGAAATATTTCATTGGCCGCTTTACTGTGCACCGTGGTTCCTTAAAACCTCTAAATCCGATTTTCGCGGAAATTGGAGGTCACCTCAAAGAAGCATCCGAAAAATATGGTTGTACCGGTTTGTGCCGTTTGTGCTTCGTTATATGGTATCTCTAAGATATATGCTTTCCAAAAATACCAAAGAGAACCGCACAACGAACCGCAATGACACTTTCCCAGTTTACAATATTCTGAAAAATTCATTTTTTAAGGCTTATTTTTCGGGCAACTTTGATCTGCAGCTAAAAATCAATATTTTTGGGATCTGAAAAAACGTAAAATATTCTCCTTCCAATAGAATTACAAGGTTAGGTGATATTATTGCATTTTTCTGTTAGATGATTGTGTTTTCCCCCCATTTTACAAGAGCACAAGATTCTCTTTTTTATCGAGCAATTTCTTCAGCTTTCGACGTCCAAAATCTACATTTAGACATTTTTGCCGGTTTTTTTGACACAAAGGAAAGAACAGATCAAATTACCCTAAGAATCATCATGTTTTGAAAGATTTGTCTGATCTAGCAGGTGTTATCAATTAAGCGCCACTACGGACACAATCTGGTCCACCGTGCCCTATGCTCCAGATATTAACTGGTAGCCTAAGAGAACACTTTTGAAAAGTTGTTTACATTTGATACCTTGGCTACAGACAAGATTTTAATCATCATCATCATCATTGAATTAATTTACATCAGACTGATAAATTTCATATATAAGCTGGATTTCAAGTCTCACTAACATTTAATGGGGCAAGTAATTTTGAAAAATCGTCAACTATTACTACAATGGTTTGAGCCAAGCTGGAAATTTGGCTGTTTATACATCTCAAACGCCTCATTTTTGGAGTAATTTTTCAATTTGAAACATAATTCCCTCAAATCCCAAAGACATTACTTAACTCCTGCATCCTTGGTTACTCTACATGAATTGTGCTTTCAGCAGGAAAGCTGGTTGAAAGAGAAAGACTATAAAATTTGCACTGACAAGAGTTTCCCAAAACCTGACCATCGGTAACAGTCAAATTGGTAACAGTACAAAATTGACAAGGCAACTCCAACACAGGACTGGCAATCACTCATTTTTTTTCTTCATGTTTTGAATATGCCTAAAATATAAAAAAAACCGAGACTCAATAATCCAAAAAGACTCACATAAACATAACCGGCAACCATTTTAGGCAAATTGTAACACACAATTACACCTAGTCTCTGCCTCAGAGACTAATTAATACTTACTCAATTACTATTAGGATGCAACAGTGTTATATTATGATGTAGTCATTGAGGGTAATTTTACCCAGTCCATCAGACACATCAGAAAGTTCCCCGAACGATCAGTCAAATGATCAAAAAGATGGATACTCTGGGGTATTACCTGTATTACCTGTATTACCTATCTTCCCTCAGTTTAAGCCAGCTGTGAGACCATCCACCATAACTGTAGGAGTCTTCCAATACGGATTGAAATGAGATAGAGCTCATGTAGAATACCTTAAATGCCAGAGGACAAAACAATAAGAAAAATGAAGTACGAGGTCTGTTAGATTAGAAACCGGATTTTGGTGAAAACTAGCCCAGTGTGCGTCCGATTTAGGTTTTCTTGAGCTTTCCTGATAGCTGGTAATATACTTAAGAACGCTACTTTCACAAATTTGAAAAATCCTCATTAACTTCGTTGGTATGTGGCTTGAAGTAAGGCAACCTCATGGGTGTTTTGCGATTTTTATGTTTGACTGAACTTGTCTCTCTTTTTTCGGTCTTGCACTACATTTTTCAACCCACAAGGATGATTGGAGTTTCATCTTCATATCGTAGCCGTACATTCAAGTATTTTCACCGAAAATTATCCTATCCAAAAATGTAGGATCATTGTTAGAACGTTCAAGCAGCTAAAGGGAAATTGACATTTGGTTGGATTTTTGTTCAACGGACAACAATCAAGGGACAAGTGTACCTGAAACTCGATGCAAGTCTACATATTCTATCAAAATTGTATGTACAGAGCCCTCAGAAATATTACACTGTTCAGCGAGCTCGAAACGACCATTTTCGAGCACTTTTGCCCGCACTTCTTCCACGTGACAAATGCCAGTTGCCGTTGATGGTCAATTCCCGAGCTCCTCATCTTCGACGAACTCCTGACCAGTTTTGAATTGTTTAACCCACTCAAAACAGTGGAAACAACTCATACAATGATCTCGGTAAACTTTACTTAGCATACCAAAAGTTTCGGTATAAGGTATACAGAGTTTAAAACACAAGTTAATGTTGAATCTTTGCTCTATCAGTGATCGCAAGATGAAAATCGCAAAACGCACCTGACTTACTCGTATTCAAGATAACATAGAATAAACACTGATCAAAATAAATAAAATCTGTAAACGTAGCATTCTTAAGTATATTGCCAGCTATCAGGAAAGCTCAAGAAAACCTAATTCGGATGCACACTGGGCTAGTTATCACCAAAATCCGGTTTCTAATCTAACAGACCTCGTAAAATAAAGAAAGGGAAAAATGAAAAATAGCCTAACTGATAATGGGATAGAATGAAAAAAAGAGCGACTAAAACTGTACAGCAGAAGGCTTATAAGACTAACAGATTGGCACAAAATGACCAGAATCAAATGAACATAAATACCTCAAGAAACATGTAAGAGACAAATATAAAATACTGACATTTTAGAATATGTGCAATAAAGAAAAATGGAAGAAAACACTACTCCTTAACGATTAAAAAAAGGGGACTTAAAAATCAACACTTTAAAAAATAAATAAGTGGGTGCCTTACAGATTATGCAGTACTTGAAGTAAAATAAAATTAGTAAAACCTACCCGGTAACAAAAAAAAAAATTTAAAAAAATGCGAATGAAAACACAGGCTTTATAGGGAGAGTCCAGATGTTTTTTCATTCTTCACTTCATTTAGAGCTCTCTTGAGTAAGAAAATTTGAATTTGTACTTCACAAAATTTCATTTACAAAATACATGTCGGTAATCGAAGGGATTATTCCATTGAGGCATCGTATGCAACAAGAGCCCTTTTTGCAGATAGCACCTTCATTTATTGTTCATATTCTTTTGTTCATATTCTGAAAGAATATATGTACCAAAGGTCATGGCCCGATGATTCTACGAGAAATGCCACCTAAAAATGTGCTTCTCGGAAAGGGCGATCGATGCCTTTGGAGACAGCTTGTAACGCAATGAAGGTTGGTGGCGTGGACTAACAAGGGGCAGTGCTTTGCAACACCTGGGATTTCCCCACCAGTTCCCTTCGCCAGCCTTCCTCTGCACCAGGTACTGATAATTAATACAGTTTAATCCTGAAATATCTTGAATGGCATATTTTATAAAATTCATGCACTGTCTCGGAAAGGGCAATCGATGCCTTCGGAGACAGCTTGTAGCGCAATGAAGGTTGGTGGCGTGGACTAACAAGGGGCCGTGCTTTGCAACACCTGGGATTTCCCCACCAGTTCCTTTCGCCAACCTTCCTCTGCACCAGGTACTGATAATTAATACAGTTGAATCCTGAAATATCTTCAATGGCATATTTTATGAAATTCATGCACTATCTCATCGAATATATCTCTACAGTTCATTTAGGAGAGGTTGAACCGACTCGAATCGCCATCGTACATAAACAAGGCCCTCAAACCACCTCCCATTTATTCAATCTTAAGACTGCAAAATTACAAAAATTCCTCGATTTCAAGCCTCCTTGAATGTCACAGTTACAAACAAAATTGGTTGCAAAATACCAATTCCTCTCTTAACTATCTCATTTTGATAACTTCAAATGCAATTTTCGCAAAGCATGGTTTAGGCATGAGGGCCCTAATGCATGTAATGCCTCAATTTCTTCAGAGTCTTCGCAATTTTCTCTATGAGAGTTCAATCCTGATTGATTCATAAACCTTAGAGAGAATAAAAAGAAAAAAAAGAACTGACTCAATATTTGGATACCGCCACATGCCATATTTAACAAGTCTTAAGGACAACTGGTAGAAGAAGATGAGAGGAATGGTCTGGTAAAAAGTACAGTAAAGTTAAAAAAATAAAAGGCATCAAATATCTGAGAAGCCTATATCACTAATGAAAGAGAAGAAAATGGGCAAGAGAGGTGACAATGAATAGGCTCAAAAAGAAACACGTACCTTCCCATGGTACATGCACATTTCAAGTTTTGACTTCCTTACCACTAACACTATTAGAGTAAGGGTTGTTTTCATACAATAATAAAGTAGCTGCGGTAAAACAATCGAACTCGTACAAAGGACTCAGCAAAAACTGTCTTGAGTATAAAACATTCCCCATAAAATAAATGTCTTGTGCTGTTGTTAGATTGATGAGAAAAGCTAATGCTATTAAAGTTAAGTCTCACCATCAACAATCTCTTGAAATAAAAAGCTATAGAAGTACTGATTGAGGCGTTAGGTGCAAAGAGTTCCCTTACCACATAGGTCTTGACTTCCCCTGAAAGCATAGATCATGCGATTTGCTGGATACCCCTCTTTTGACCATCAAGACCACTGTTTTTGTCCATGATTTTGACCACAACCATAAAAATCTGCGATTCACGCAGAATAGTTGAATGACATCATGCTATGTTAGAGCCCTTTACTTTTCGTGCTGATGCGGACCACCATAGACCTATCATCCTGATAAAGATCCCTACCCATCCTCTGAAGCGTTACGTAATTTAGGGATGGTCTTTACACCTAAATCCACAAAGAGCTGGCCTCTAAAAGGTTTAGGGTTGGTTGGTTGTGTTTACTGATTTATCACAATGAATGTGTTGGATAATATTACTACATTTCTTCATTAGTATTTCTACATTACCTTCATTCACTTCCCACCTAGATGGTTTTCCTTAAGGGCCTATTTAATTTCTGAACTTAATACTTGACAAAGGAACTATAATTTTTTTGATAGCTGATAGCTGTTGGTACATTGAGAAAACAGAGAAATAAGGGCAAATTTCAACAGAATAATATGTAAGTATTTCTGAAGAGGGGAAGGCCCACAAAAGTTAACACTTGAACATCAATAGTAAATACACTCAGAGATTAGAAGAAAATAAAATATAATAAAGCCATACTTGTAATAACAACTAAAAATTACTTAAAACTAAAAAAATTCAAGTCTTCGGTTAGGTGGTTATAAAAATTAGTTACTTACTATCCTCTAGGAGATTTCAAAAAAGTAAAAAAAGATGGAAAGTAGCACTCAAAAGCTGCCTATGATGAAGTGGGAATCAAACAGGTGTTTCATGATCAGTTTCTTCAATGCGACCCAATCGCCACGCATTTAAATCATTTGCTGGAAATAAATGAATCATTGTTACAAATACAAGATGCAGCCATTTTAACTTCATAAAAGAGCACAGACGGCTACTAAATGAGCCCTTTACATAGTCGATTTTGTTCAGTTAATAGCCAAAGGGGACTTTTGAGGAAGTTTCATCAGAACCTTGAAGAAATCTTCCAATTTATTTAGCTTCTCTTCTTATGCATATGTTTAAATTCTAAAGTTTGACTCATTCATCGCTAGGATAGCTGTTAAAGTTCAGAGATTTCTAATAAAACTCTCATCATTTTACTTGCACAACTAATGGAAAAATATTGACCTTACAACTGACCTAACTGCAGAATTTTTAAACAAAGAGCTATTGGTACTGGATGAAGAAGTTCAGGATTGATAAATTAAACTCACTTTAATATTTTTGAAACATCAAACGCATTTCACAGTCTTCTGACTCCTTCCTCGGTGACTTATTCCCTACTGGGGCAAGCATAACATCAGGCTGTGATCGTGGTTCATCGCGTTATTTTACAAAAATCTGACAGTCTACAGCGTCATATGACGCTAGGAAATTTCTAAAGAACGTCCTGAAATTATCACTTGATCGATCGACCATAGAATCATTCTCCAAATACTGAAGAGCCACCTTAAAAACATTTGAAATTCTTAGCTACAGATGCCAACCATCTTCTTATACTGAATAATAATACAAACGTGGTTTGGAATCTTATTAATTTTTAAAACTCTAAAATATTTCGAGTGATCTCTAAAATTCTGAAAATATCGGAAAGAACACGAAAAAAATAAATGGATAAACCCCCCGCCTGAAATGGGAGATCCAAGCAACAAATTTAACCCCCCCCCCCCACATTAATTACTTCGTTAGTAGTAAAACTTCTGTGCACAAGAATAGTAACAAAGTAAACATTAAATATGATCTTACCTTGTCAGGATGGCTTGTGTAAAGCTAATAGTGATGCCAGTCTAACACTATGATGATTACATCGACATAACAAAGGCGCATGCTCGGGTAGTACTTTTGGGTCTACAACATTCAACAACATACAAGATATAAAATAAAAAACTGAAAAAGAGAGCGACAGAACAAAAAACATGAAAAGCTGATGTACAAGGTTGATGCAAAGCCTAAGCCAGGAGTAACCACTGACAAAAGAATTGTATGTGCCTGTAAAGGCATGGACAGCATTGCTCTATCATTTCAGTGATAAGATTTCTGATCAAACGGAGAAAGTTTTGATAAAAATTAAGAGATGGGCAATTCATTGAGATGACTATGCAATGAGTCAGTTGAATCATTTTTTTTCTTGTGTCATTTGAAAGTAGTAAGTGACCGAAGCTTACAGTTTTTTTCCTAAATTTTTTTTGATGACTGCAAACGGGAGAAAAGTTTATTCGAAAGTGCCAAAAATTAGGGTGGCCTAAAACGGCGTTTGAACTGCGCGCTCGTAGGTTCCGCATGTACACGTCACGATCAATATGGCGGCGGAATGCGTGGTGGAAGAATACACGGCGGCGACGCGTTGACGGTATGTTTTTGTTGGTCAATTGGAGGTTATGTCGGTTACTTTGTTTGAGATTCATATCCATTGTTCTTAATCCTCTAAGCTTTTCAATCAGAATGCGATACAGATGGATGTAGGATATGAAACATTCACAAAGAACTTACTTAACCTCAAACGAGAAATCGTGAAGTCAACAACGGCGGCGTGGCGGTAGTAAGCAGGTTTGTTTCGTCGCCGCCATCTTCCCGTTTATGACGCGGAGATGCGGAGATTCACGGCGGTCGGTTCAAACACGTTTTCGAGGACCCCTAAAAAGGAAGCGTTATATCTCCACAGAGACAATTCTTCGTGAAATTTTAACATGCGCATCGTTCTTTTCGTACCGAAAACTGTAGGATCCGACTATTTGCAGGCAAATCCCTCCCGAGCTTAACTGACTTATTATAGATAAGTTTTTCATTGCCATGGATTAAAAAACAATGTCACCAGGTAAATTATTCAATTAATCAAAGAGGATTCAGTTTATGAGATGAGATGTGATTTGTTCAAAATTTTCACCCTCCTCGCTCCCCTTATCTTGCAACGTATTGCAAATTGCCTTGTAGCAACAAAGGTTTTCAGCTGGATAACCACCATTTTTGTGTCTACCTAAAAGTGGACAGACATTGTGGCTGGTACAATGTGTATATTTTATTAGTGTTGATATAAAATCATAAATAGTATAGTGTTGTAGTTGCAGTATAGCGTTATATTGTTGTTTTGTTTTAGATGTGTAGTGATACGGAACACTACAGAAGCTTCCTGGAGTACTATTCCCATCGCTTTGTGCAATGTAGCAGCAGCACAGTGTTTTTCTAATTCATTTTCGAAAAGTATGTAGAAAAGAATCAAATTTTGGTTGAGAAAATGACTTTCAAAATTACCAAAAAAACAACCCAATTTTGAATAAAAAAATTTTGCGCTCACAATTTTCGTGATGTCATATGAAAGGTAGAACACTATGTATCCTTCCATCCAGGTTCCTTTTTACTTCTTAGTTACTCTCTCGTTGCAATTGTAACAACAGGTTTTGTACCCCAATAGTGCTGTCAATATCATGGCCGTTTGAAGTGAGTATTTTTGCCATTTTTCATAATTGTAGTCGAATATTATTGATGTTAGTCTTACAGCAGCCATGTTACATTGGATTCATGGTGGTTTCGACCGCGGACTGTTTTTCTATATGACAGCATAAGCTGTAGGCCAATGAGTCACGTTTTTTCTATTGCTGCATCGTTAGGATCTCTTTTATTGATTGAAAATGCGGTTTTAAGCTTATTAAGCCAGAAACACGATGTTTTCTAAAAATACCATTGAAGACTCTTGTTTTCAAAACAATTCCTAGATCATGCACCAGCCCTATTACAAAAAATTCCTCAGTCTTCAAAGTGACAAGATCGCCTCATGAATAGTTTAATTTATGAATAATTCAATTCATCAGTAGTCAAGGAGTTTTCTTTAATATTGACTTTTAGGGATTTGGAATCAGCTATGATAAATGAGATATCAGGATAGTACTGCAACATGCTATTCAGAAAGGGAAAAAAAAGCCAAAAGAAGTGTACGAAAATTAAAGCAAGAATTTCGTAATTCCAATAAAGCGTTCCCAATGCATCTGCCTGAGCAGCTAGCTCTTTCTATCAGCATCATACAAAAACATTTCACATTAAGTTTTAATTTAAAACTCCCATTTCAATTTGTTTTCTTTTTTCCCCCCTCCTGTCAGGCTATGTTTCTCTCAGTTTAAAGTAAAGCCAACCCTACTCCAACATCTTGTTCCGCCTACTATTTTTGTGGGTCTTTCTGCCTACTATGGTACATACACATGGAAAATACGATAAAAATTGACATGTAGTCATGCTTCACATGCAAGTGTGTGCTCTTGAATTGGAAATGAATGTAACTTCACTGGGTAGTGCATGCTTTTTTACTGAAGGTAAGGATAGGACTGATTGTAAGAAGAGTTCCTTCTTGTTAAAAGCTTGAATGTTTCTAGTTACAGCCTTAATTTTTTCTTGGAATTTTCCTTTTGCCAGATAAAGGTTTCTTTGGGTCGTAGAATCCGAATCTGAAGTTTCCTTACACGTATGTGGTGTGCATTTGCCGCTATTTAAGAAAAAAAAAAGGACTAAGGCAGCCTTCATTGGCGGTTTTTTTAATAAAGCGGCTATGCATGAGAAAAAATCCCGGATTTAGCTAAAGTAATTTGGAAGAAAATGGTATACAGGGTGTTTCAGACCACCCGTACCAGGCCTTTTTCTCGGTTGTTTTAGGTCGTATGAAGTCGGGGACCGCGGGGTTGAATAAGGAATTGACCCCAAGGAATCCGAATTTCGTGGTCCCAAGCCCCCCCCCCCCCCTTGGGGGTAAAGGGGGGGGGGTCACGATGCTAGAAGTCACGGTTTCCGACCGAATTGCGGATTAACCGCATCAGAATTGAAGAGCACGGACAATTTCACGTGAAATTGACCCCTAAAAATCCATAATCGGCCCATCCAAGGCCCAAAAATGACCCCCTGAAGAGGGGTACGGTGCCCCCCTCCATAATTTCTCTTTGGTCTCAAAATTGACATAGATTCTCCAGAAAAAGACGATTTCCCAGGTAATCGACCCCGAGAAATCCAAATTTCATTGTCCCGAAGCTCCTCTAGCCCCCATTGGGAGGTAAACGGGGGGCCCAATTTTAAAAATCGGGGTTCCTTTCCGAATCGCAATTTGATTGCGTCCAAATTGAGGAGCAGAACACTTTTACATCTTAAGTGATCCCCAAGAGTTTTAATTGACCCCCCCTGAACGGCAGAAAGTAGCCCCTGAGGAAGGGGGCTTCGCCCCCTTCAAAAATTTCTCAAGATTCCTCTTTGGTCGCAAAATTGACGTCGATTCTCCAGAAAAAGACGGTTTTCCGGGTAATCGACCCTGAGAACTCTGAATTTCATGGTCCCTAAGCTCCGCTACCCGCCCTTTTGGGCAAAAACCGTCTTTTTCTGAAGAATTGACGTCAATTTTGCGACCAAAGAGGAATCTTGAGAAATTTTTGGAGGAGGCGAAGCCCCCCTCCGCAGGGGTTACTTTCTGCCGTTCAAGGGGGTCAGTTAAAACTCTTGGGGGTCACTTAAGATTTAAAAGTGTTCTTCTCCTCAATTTGGATGCAATCAAATTGCGATTCGGAAAGGAACCCCGATTTTTAAAATTGGGCCCCCCGTTTACCTCCCAATGGGGGCTAGAGGAGCTTCGGGACAATGAAATTTGGATTTCTCGGGGTCGATTACCTGGGAAACCGTCTTTTTCTGGAGAATCTATGTCAATTTTGAGACCAAAGAGAAATTATGGAGGGGGGTACCGTCCCCCTCTTTAGGGGATCATTTTGGGGCCTTGGATGGGCCGATTATGGATTTTTAGGGGTCAATTTCACGTGAAATTGTCCGTGCTCTTCAATTCTGATGCGGTTAATCCGCA